TGCATACATACATATGTGCATTCAGAGAGCTAAAAATAAACAGCTGCTGATGGGCAGCCGGAGGGTGTCCTCTGTAAGGAGCAGACGTCCTCTGTCCCTCTCCAGCAGACAAGCTTAAGCCACAGACAAAAACTGGAGGTACTGCAAGGATTTAAAGGGAAGCCTTGTAAGACAACTTACAAAGGTTAGGAGGGCCTGGGGAGGGATATAATAGCCTGAGTCTCAACAGCCTTTCCCAGACCTTGTGGCCCAAATCCTCTTGGTGACCTCTGGGTAATTGTTTATTGGCATCCAGCAAAAGGGCTGTAAAGGAAAGTTTATAATTAGGGTTAGGAAGGGAGGTGGTCCATGCTTGCACTCTGTGTGTAGCCTCTGACTTCCTGGTTTCCCCCTTTCTCAGAGCAGAGACCCTTCCAGGTAGAACCATGCTGTGTGCATTCGAGGAGGGGAATTGGTGTGTAATTTTTTTTTTGCAACCTTCCAATCTTTAAGAATTCCTCCCACCTCCATCGATCAAGAAACCCTTTGTCATGCTGAGGTGTGGCACTTCTGCCACAGCGAGACTGTCATGAAACAGCCATTCAGACTGGTGTGAAAATATGCTCATCCATTGAGCTCATTTTTAGGGTCGCTATTTTAAGAAGGAAAAAAATAACCACTGGTATTTAAGAGTAAAGCTTCTCCTGGCCTCCAAAAGACCTGATAACATGGCTAGAGACAGCACCTGCAGTCTTTGTTGAACTTCTTCTGCCTCCTCATATGGAAAGAAAAGTTGCATATTCACCATTACCTTGCTATCTATTTGTAGGGGCGGATTCCCTCCCTACTGGGGAAGAGAAAGAATGCCTGGCCCTCCAGGCATTCCCACCACCAGCGTTGGTCATTGGCAAAAGCTATCTGTGCCTGTGCCCTCTCTCTCTCTCTCTCTCTCTCTCTCTCTCTCTCTCTCTCTCTCTCTCTCTCTCTCTCTCTCTCTCTCTCTCTCTCTCTCTCTCTCTCTCTCTCTCCCCTCTCTCTCCTCTGTGTGTGTGTGTGTGTGTGTGTGTGAGTGTGTTGTGCACGCTCGAGGTCAATTTTAGGCTTATCCGTCCCTGCATTGCGAATCTGTCGGTCTCTCTGTAACTCAGATCATTGCTCTCTGGGAAGCTGTAGCTGGCTGATTCCGTGGGAGACCAAGCAGGATGCGTGGGCGCAGGAAAAAGAAGAGGAGAAAGAAAGAGGAGGGGGGAGGGATCGAGAGCTGGAAAGAGGCGGGGGAGCCGTAAAATCTGTTATTTGCGTCACTCGAGAAGCCCGGGCTATCTGGCCAACAAACAGAGAATTAATCCAAGTTATAGCCAAAGCCTGCTATGTTACTGTGGCCAGATGCAAAAGGGCGGGGAAAGCACGCGCGCCAAAGTCTGTGCACCTCCGAGTTTGCAATGGGCCTCAGGATGTTTGGGGAGGGGGCAGTTTGGTTAGGCACGCCCCTCTGGGGCCCTCAGCACGCCCCGTGCCTCCTCTGCTGATAGCCAGCCCAAGCCTGGGTTGGTGCCCACCCCAGTCGCCTCGCCTGCTCAGTGGCTGCGCTGAACACAAAGCGCTGTCTCTGAGCAGAAGCCTCTTCTAGGTTGAACCAGACCCACCAAAGAGGAGAATCTGCACGTGACGTCAGCAGCTGATGACTGACGCAGGCTGGCAAAGGAGACTCGAGGCGGCTGCTCCGCGCTGTCTTCATGAGTCTATTTTCTCCATCCCCCTTGTAGTGAATTACTAGAACGCAACACACACACACACACACACACACACACACACACACACGCAGCTTTTAAAATTTTAAATTTACATTTCCAAAGGCGGCGTGTTGCTAACACCGCGCGATTTTGCAAAGCGTGTGTGGGGAATGTGGAAAGGGTAGGGATGATCACCCCCTCCCCCCTATTTGGGGATATCCATCGTGGATAGTGTTAGACTCTATAGCTTTCCAGGGAAGGTCTTCTGGGGGAAGGGGCTAAGCACCCCCCCATTTCCCCAACAAGTAGGAGATCTGGTCAATGGAGACCTGAAGCTCTAAGAATACAACTACTCCAATGCCTTCTGCTTGGGAGACTGTGAGCAGCTTGCAACAGGCAGAGGCATACGGGAGTTAGTGAGAGGGAGGGAGAATATAAGAACTATTTGGGTATTTTTCTGTTTTGAAAAACATCTATAGCAATGCAAGAGGGTCTAGTGGTGCAAAAACAAGTGGGGAGGGGCGATTAGTGCACCTTTAATGTTTTGAACTCAACGTTCCAGCAAAATGCCTTTGTGTGTGCAGGTTTTTTCAGTACTTGCTAAAAATAGCATCTGGGTTTGATCGTGTTCCAGAAATAGACCGAGGGCTGTACTGGGATAAAAAGCCAGCGAGGGTGGAAGAAAACCTGGACACCACCGCATCCCCTCCCCAATGTCTGGAAATTAATTGTTGGATTTTTCCTTCCTCTCTCCTTTCTTTATCCAACCCCCCTTCCCCCCACCCCGTGTTTCTTTCTCTTTTAAGGAGTTCCCGTTTGGGTAAGTAATATTATGTCATGTGCATGCTGCAGACTGTAAGTACAAGCTGATGCTTACTCCGTGCATGATCGGAATGCATTCTTGGCTGCCTTTTTGCCCCTTCCTAAGTGAGAGGAAGAGACTGAGTAGTGGGTGAGGGTGTAGCGCTCTCTGTGTGTATTTGTGTATATAATGAATTAGGGGCTGCATGCAAAGGAACAGAGAAGGAATTCTTGCAGAGTTGGGAATCACCCTGACAGATTTGAATCAATTGCAGCTGCAACGCTCTCTGTCATTATGGGTAGGCGCTGTTGAGCTGGGTTCTCTCTACTGCCCTCTCCCCTCCCTATTTTCTCCGTCTTAAAGGGTGACCAGACACGATTTAATGGGCCATCTCGATGCAAGATTAATGGAGACTGTAGAATATAGGCAAGGACTGCATGGGGTAAAGGGAATAAACACAAGGGAGCTATCTCCATTCCGCTGACAAACCTCTCTGCTAGGGTTGGGAAATCAGCACCTAGACGCTGGTCCTGACTGATCCAACCCGTGGTAGCTGTCCACAGATATAGGTGCTGAAAATTCCTTGGTCCACAGCAAGTTCAGTTCTGAGCGCCAGGGGGCAGGATTGGCTCCAGCTGAAGCTAACCCCGCCCTGAATGCAAAACAGGGATCCGGAATGGAGGGGGTTAAGGATGTTCAAAGGGGATAGTCGTGACTTCGGTGAGAGCTTTGGGAAAAGGGGGGGGGGGGGTGAGTGGGAAGGAAAAGGAAAAAAAAATTAAAGGAGAGGGCGAGAAGTGCTAGATTCAAGGATGAGCTAAGGCCGGGCGCTCCAGGAACCCAAGACCAAAGCCGGAGGCTCACCATCTTTTTCTGCAGAGGCTGGCCACTGTCTGAGTCTCCAGTTTCTGGATCCAACACCTTCCCGCCAGTGGTTTTGAAGTATTTCTCCCTGATGATGATGATTCTCAAAATAAGAAGCTATCGGTTGCTTATTGTGACCCTGTTCCCCTCTCACTTCGTGTCCCCTCACATACCCACATTCTGCAATTCCTGGGAGGGGTGTAAAGGCGTGTTATGTCACTCACTACTCCTGCGTCCTTTGCATCCTAGTCACAGGAGCTCTAAATGACTTACTGGAATAGGAGTATTAGAAATCAAAGGACCGGAGTTGCTGGTGCTATGCACAGAGAATCAGGCTTTGGAACATCGCCTGGCGCCTGTAAGGCAGTATTGCTAACCACTAACAGGAGAAATTAGGGAGGATTGTTCTCAAGGTTGACAAATGTTACTGGGGAAACCACCAGCTCCCTGGGGGTGAGTTGTAAGTGAGATACATTACAATCAGCTCCAGATACTTTGGCAGAACCTGCAACCAAACAGGTGAGGAAGGAGAAAAGTTACTGAGAGAGGGGATCACCAGCACACAAAGACATCCATACTGATTAACTCATTGGAGTCAGGTAATAGTGCATCCTCAAACTGACCCACAAGAGTGGGCTATGGGTGGGGAAAAGAAGCACTCTTGCAGTCTACAATAAGCTTATGTGCATACAGGAATGTTATGTATTTTCTCTTTTAAAGTTCGGGTCAAGGAGGTTATCTGTGAAGAGGGGGCACAGAATAGAGAGGGGGAGACTAGATAGTCCCTGTTCCACCTGGCAACAGCCTTGCTATGAGTGACTATCCTCCATGCAGGGCAAGTTGATTGCAGCCCCTGGAGTGAAAAGAAGGTGAGTCAAGTTAATTTTAGCTCCAAAGCAGTCCCTTTCTGGGCAGGTTTCCTCACTGAGGTTGAGTCTTCGTCAACTCCTAATAGTAACAAGGGCTGTTACTGAGGTGCAGAATAACCAAATAACGCTGCAACCCGTACTTTGTCTTGACAATTGCAAGCTTGAAACTAAGCTGCAGCTCGCAGTCTCTTGGCCCATCCCTCGGCCTCTTCGTCATACAAAGGGGAGATACTAGTTCCCTTTTCCAAGCCTCGCCCCCCTTAGTCCCACAAGTTGTCTGTGTTTACAAATTCTGCCTCATTTGCAAAGGAAATTTCAGAGCGGGGCCGGGCGGGGGGCAGGCAATAAAGCACCTGCAACTCGTGAAGCAGGGGTGGTGGGGTTTCCAAGAGTCATGAAGTGGGAGGGGGGACACCCCATGTCCTTATGTCCCACCAGCCCGCTCTCCCTTGCCCTTCTTCACTGCCTGGCACAATGCACAATTTTGCCCCCAAACTGGATCCTATTAAATAATTCAATGGTAGCGGTGCAATTTTGGTTGGAACCAGCACGGATTCCCAAGTCGTGACTGCAAAAAGTGAGTAATGCGCGCTGGCTGCGTCATGGCTCTAGTCACAGTTCATTCCGAACTGAGAAGGAATCGTGACTTCGCCTAGAGACGTCCCCTACATGGGAGTTGGGGGGGGGGAACCAAACCAGGGGCGAACGGGGGTGGGGGAAAGACCTATCCAATGAAAACCTCTGTCAGGGGGTGTTGCATTTGAACTCCACTGCACGCCGTGCTGCTGTCCCCTCTTCGCCCGCTGCAGCCTCCCCTCCCTCAGGCCAGCGCTCTCTCCTTCGCGCTAGCTTTCCTCTCCCGCTCCCCCGACGAGTCCTCAACAAGTTGGAGGGAGGCAGGAGCGCAGGGGTTAAGCTCGGGAAGCTGCAATTACCAAGATCGTGACCCTCCCACACAGTACAGTAACTTATATACTTACCTAGAAGAGCCCACTTTGCCGCTGGGCAAACACCCGCGGAGGGGGGGGGAGTGATAGGAGGGGAGCGGGCTGGCCAGAGAGGGCTGCTTCCAGACGGCTGAAGCACACAGCGAACCAAAGCATTCCCAAGACTCCCGTACTCAGGTAAGGAGAAAGGATTTGGAGCGCTGGCCGCCTGGTGGTCGGTAGGCTCAATGGTCAGCGGAGCAGAACTTTTTCCCCCAATTGCCCCGCGCCAAGCCAGTTGCAAGCACAGACTGTGGAGCCCCCTCTGGCGTGGCGCGCAGACGCTGGGAGGGTGTGTGCTTGCGTCTTTCCGTAGCTGAGCCAAGAGAAGGGGATGCAGTGGGAGGGTGGGTGGGTCACAGAAATGTAGGAGGGTGATAGATGGGCGGAATGGATAGGCCGACAGGAACTTGGGAGACCAAGATGCATCCTGTGGATGTGATGGGCCAAGGGATTGTGTGTGTGTGTGTGTGTGTGTGTGTGTGTGTGTGTGTGTGTGTGTGTGTGTATGCCTGCACGTCGATTCCCGGGTGGCAAAAACAACAACAACAACAACAACAAACTTTTGCACCCAAGTTCTTGCAATGTTTGCAGTAGCCACCCAGTCTTAGGTTTTCCCTATACCTGCAAGGAGAGAGACAGACATTTATTTGACCACATCCTTCTTTGGCATTCCTGGGGCTGGGCAAGAGGGGACTGGGAATTGGGTGGAGCTTCACTGTAAAAAAAGAGAGCATCCACTCAAAGTTAGGATAGATGGAATGGGGGAGGGGAAGGAAAGAAAGGGGGAAGAGGAGAGACTATGCCCCCTCCCTCCTCTCCAGTCTCTCTTCCCCTCCCTCTCACAGATGCTGGAATCTCCTATCCCTGTGGCAGTCAATGCCCAACTCACCCCTTCTTGTTCCCCCAACATTTTGCAGAATGTGGGGGGGGGTGATGCAGCAAGGAAAGGGTACCTGAGGCAAATGGGCCATTACACACCATAATCTGGATGGGTTTCGGGGCGGGGTGGTCGTGCAGAGGAGAGAGCTTCACCCTTCTTAGTGAACATTCAGAACTTTTGGGGGGCAAAGTGGGGTAAGGGGACTCGAGAAAATCTCATTTTCTAGAAATAGGCCAACTAGAGTGGGATTTGAGCTTATTTTATGTTCATCTTTGCCAGTCATTTTCCGTCTGGTTCTTCTGGCTTAGGTCCCGATGGAAGAGGTCGCTTTCTTAATGCCTCTTTCCCAATATACACTGCCACCCCCTCACCTGGGCTAGAATGGGAGGGAGTCATGGACAGTTTTTGCAACAACAATATTTTAATGTGTTCTAGTCTAGGTTTTGTTGAATAATTAGAAATGGAAATATTTTTCTCCCTCCCCCTTCTGAAAAAAAAAAAGAAATGTGAGCTCTCTTCTGATTGGTGGGTGACGATTTTAGTCCACACCAATGAGCTGGCGGCCTTGTCTGTATTTATTTAGTGCTCTGGGGGAGTTTTTCTCTTTACGCAGCGCCTGTAGTCACGGCTGGAACCTCTGCTGGGGGACTAGGAAGGATAGGAGGGGATTCGGGGGAAATCTGAACCGTGCCTGTTCAGAGATCCACGACCTTGCAGCCAGGGCTGGCAGAACGCTGATGGGGGAATTGGGTGTTAGACTAGATAGGGTCGGAGGCTCGGGGTGCTGGGGCGACAGGGGTGGAGGCTGGGCTTAGAGACCTGGGGTCCCCCTCCGAGCTACCCTTCTTGCCCTCCACTACCTCTTTGAGGTTGTGCAAGGTTGAGTCTGAGGATCTCGGACTGTCTGGAGCGAGAGAGAGAGAGCGGGATGGGTCTGGGGACGCGAGGAGGGGAGCGCGGCGCGCAGGGTGGGGAGGTTGAGCCGCGGAGGAGCGCGCCGGGGAGATCCAGCCTCCTCGGCTTCGGGGTTCGGAGACGTGCTGGGCTGAAGGCGGCGGCGGCAGCGGCGGACCGAAGAAGCGGGTAGACTGCCCTTCGCGAATCTTTTTGCGGTCTGGGCTTGCTGTACATAACTCAAAAGCCGGAAGCCCTTACCCCAAAAAGCATTCGCGGAGGGCGCGCTCGGCGACATGACTGCAGCTACCAGCGACCGCCGAAGCCGGCACCTTCCCGAAGCGGCTCCATCCGAGAGTTCCCCAGTCTTTCTCCCCGTTTTCCATGGAAGAATCAGCTCTTTCCTTCCTGTCCTTTCCGCGCACCGGGAGCGAGCGAGGCTTTGGTCACTCGCCTTCCCGCGGCGTGTCCCCCGCCCCCAACTTTTTAATCGACTTTGTATCACAGGGGAAATTGGAGAGGGTGACGTGCGAGTGTTTTCGAAGAAGTGAGAAGAAGCTAAAATGTAATAAAAGTTTACAGAAGTTATGTCGTTCCCCCACACCCCACATCCCAAATATCCCCACTCACACAATAAAAAGTGAGGGGGGGCACGGCTATAGGGCCAAGTCAGTACCTGGAATATGAATCAGTTTAGGACATTTTACAGTCATTTTTGACCCTAAGAATTGTAGTCTGCAATATGGGGAGGGGGGAGGGGAAGTCCTTGAGGGAGGGGCGGTAGGCCCTAAGCATCCTAGGTTAGGATGCGCGGAACCTGGAGGAGGTGAGCTGAACCTCCGTGAATCCGGTAGCTCCGAAAAAGAGGGGAAAACACCCAGGCACCGCCCGCTCCCCGGAGCCTTCCTCCTGAACCTTCTTCCAACCTAATTTCAGGCATGTTGCAAGCTCCAGTACCCACCCATCTCCTCTTTTTCAAAACTAAGTAGCTCAGAAGAGGATAAAACAGGCGGAAACTAGGGAAAACCCCGCGGGGAAAGAGCCTCTGGGAGCTGCGGTTGTTTAGCAGTGGCGGCTGTAGCAGCCCCATGCTGGCCTCCCGAGGCGCCAGGACCTGAGGAGGGAGGCCAGCTGCAGAGGGGAGAGCCCGTGGGCCCCCCTCCTCCCCCTCCACTCTGCAGTCGTGACCACTTCGGTTACAAGTGACACAAATCGGGCCTTCAGCACGTTTTGTGCCCCGTGCCCTTCGCTAGCTAGGAACACTGCTAGACGCCCTTGCCCTTAGGGACTGGGCCAGAAGGACACACAGACACATTCAAGTGCCCATGGAGATGAAAAGTAGACAGAGAATGGGTCTAGGGATGTGATAGTCCATGACCCCAGGCCTGCGAAACTACCCATTTTCGGGGAGGGCCTGAATTCCCCCGCATCCTAACCTTTCTGCTTTAAACAAACTCTGTACACCATCATATCTGGGTTCAATAGTTAATCACCCAGACTTTACCTTCTCTACCCTCTCCTGAAAAAAAAAAAAAAAAAAAAAAGGAATCGTTCAGGGGTGCTGAGAATGCTGGACAGAGGCAGCCGGTACTGGCTCAGTACGTGAGAGAGCACAACGTGAGGACTACAGGCTCCAGGACTAAATCAGAGTCTCTCTCCCCAGATAAAGGACATTTCCCTTCCCTGAATGCCTTTTCTGAAAGAGTAAAAGGCTCTCAAAGATCTGGACAGGCTGTGGGGAGGGAGCAAAAGCTGTGGGGGGTTTTCTTCCTGCCTCTCACTTGGGGCCGTCTGTTGAGCGATGGCTCTTCGGAGGGAGAAGCAGAAAAAGCACGTTAGATTAAAAATAGCTTCTCATTGTGTCCCTTCACCTACTCTTTTGTCTTTCGCTTACTGTATCCCACTCCTACCCCCAGCCAGGAAGCCCTCCCCTCTCCAAAACCCTGACCATTCACCAGATTTGGGAGCGAGGTGACCTTAGAGAAGTGAACTTGCATAAAAGGTTTGAATAGCCTGAGCAGAGGCTGCTCGAGGTTCCTGCGCCCCCAGCTCCCCCATCTCTCCCACTCGGGCTACACCTGGAACCGGAGTTCCAGGGCCCTAGAGCACCCCGCTGAAGGCGTCGTGCGGCAGCCAGCGAGTCCTCGCCTCGCCTTGCCTCAGCCAGACAACTGTTGCTGTCTGAAAGCCGCCGCCGCTGCAGCCGCTGCTGCCAGGCAGCTGCAGAGCGGAGGTTGCTCACTTTGGGTCCTTCTGGGGGGTCTTGAAAGGGGGATCTCTCATTCCGGGGGAGGACTGGTGAAAAGATTCCTTCCCTCTTTCTCCTCAATAAGTGAAAATCAGTGGCTTGCTGCATCTTTCCACTCCTATGTATGGTGATTACATCAGCTCGAGGACAGTGGGAGCCTATTTCCCCCTCTGAACTCAGTTGGCCATTGTTGAGGGAGGTGGGCAAAGATGGGGGGCATAATCACTTTAGTCATTAAGCTTCTAATGCATAACTCCTCACCTAGTGAGTCAGGGACCTGCTGGAAACTTCTAGGCACTTGCATCTGATGCCAACCCCTGAAGGGGCCTGTAGAAGAGCAGGCAGCCTCTGGCCCCAATCTACTTTTCCTTGGGAGCGAGGTAGTGGGGTGCTGTTTGTGAGGTATTAGGAACACTGCAGTGACGATCTAGTCCCCCAAGCCAATAGCTAGTGATTGTCTCTGGAGGTAAAATAGGGTAAAGGAGCCACAGAGCCCCCTCCAGGACCCCTGTCTTCAGCGAGAAGCAAGTGACCCAAGCCAGGCTTAGATGCCTCATTTTGGGCCCACTTTGCCTGCTATGGTCTTCCCTGATCTGCCTCTGGGCCGCCCCTTTCAAAAGTCTCCCCACCACACCCTGTGCTGTCCCCTTCTGTCTTCTGTGGAGGATGTTTGTTTGCTATAAGTTGCTCTGCTTTGCCTGTCTCCAGGAAAAGGAAAAGGCAGAGCCTGATTTCAAGAGTACTTCCTGCAGCGTCAGATTATCTCTGAAAAGCTCTGCTCTGGCCAGTGCTGTCCCCTGCCTTTGCCCTGATCTCTGCCTTTCCACCCACCTCCATGCCATGACTGCCTGCAGTACACCCCAGTGCACGGTCTCACACTCTCTTCCCAAGCAGTCAAGTAACCTTGCTCATCTTGTTGCCTTTGTAGGTGGTCAAGCCTGTCCTGATACTGAGTGGTTGGCATGAGGGGTGACCACCCAAGGGAGGCAGTCTCAGAGCTTACAGAAGTGGAAAAGCCCGAATGAAGGATCTCAGGAGTCCTAGGTGAGTGGAGAGATGCCAACCCATGCATGGCCTTCCCTGGAGAGCCTCGAGGCTTCCACATGTACTCCTTCCACAGTGAGAAGGCAGCAACTAGGGGCCCAGCATTTGGAAACAGTCGTCTAAGAAATGCATCCATTATAGATGGTAAATGAAAAGACAGTACCAAAAAGGCAAACCTACTTCTGATTCCTGGAAACAGGACTTGGGTGTGTTTGGAAGCTTCTACAACCAACAGTTCTGAGGGACAATGGCTTTATTCAGTGAGGCTTACAATTCTATCTGCCCTTCCATCTCCTAAACTGATTCAGGCCACCTAAAGTAAGGGGAGAGGGGTCTTTTGCTGTGATCCATTTCTTCAAAAGTTCATATAAGCTAAGTGACATGTCAGTGGAGCTCAGCTTAGGATGGACAGAAAAACTTTTAGGCTAATGATTCCTTGGTGGTAGGGAGGGAAAAAGCAACCAGAGAATCCCCTTACTTCTGAACTTTTGCTTAGCTGGGTTTCCGGGCTTTGGAGTCATACATTCATTCTTCCTAGGGGATTCAGTTCAAAACTTGAAAGAGACTGTAAGCCAGGGCTGGTAGGATAGTGAGGAAGGGAGAAATGGACCTACCAGGCTAATTGTTGGGTATGAGCCCAGCCAGGGAGCTGCCTTAAGCCTCAGAAGGAGACTGAAAGAATAGAGCACGTTGCGCTGAGGAAACCTTCAGGTTGTTAAGTTGTGGGCGTATTTGCTGTATTAATTCAATGATGGTCATAGGGTTTTTTAAATTATAATTTGAGAGCAGAACTGAAATAAAAAGCAAGTTGACTGGAATCTTCTGTGAATCCCACCATGTAAAGCTGTCAGATTGCTGGCTTGGCCTAACTTCTTTTGAATCCCCCATTTTATATATAAGGACCTGAGTTTCCCACCATTGGGAAATGGGTTATATTAATTCTAAGAAGTTAAGATCAACCCACTTTCCCCCTTAACTGATAGTCCAGCTGTCCTTTGAGGAAACCTAAGAATGCAATACTAGCGAGAGATGGTTTTCTTGCCTGTAGGTTAATATGTTTTAATGATGGTGGAAGGATCCATGGACGGGCTAAACTTCAAACTTAGATACAGTATGTGGTATATAAAAGCTAGAAGGTCTCATATAACCATGCATGCCAATCTCTCCAATCTATAAATCAAGAAACAAATGGCTTATGTAATTTTACCTAGGTCACTTAGCCAAGGCTCCAACCCACATGGTCTACTCTGGGTTCATTTATTGGTCACTAACTGTTGCCTGTCTCTACCAAACCATACAGATCATTCATAAACACAATGCAGGCTGTCATAATAGATTCCTTTCCCTAAGTTGCATTAAGGAGGTAAATTTTCAAGGAAGTGTTTATAGCGAGTCTCTGAAGCTAGGGACTGCCTGAGGACACTGATGGAAGGTTAGGCCTGCCCTCCCCTCTTCCCTGACACACTCACCATGCTACTTTGAGGTTCTGAGCAAGAAAGTTGCTGTGTCATAGAATCCCATGTTGGTCATTTTCAAAGCCTCTGCCAGCAGGAAGGAACTTGATGAGGTGAATACCCCCCTTCTCACTTTTCTTCTCTCTTAGGGAGTACCCTAAGTTAGCTCCTCTTGCCTGACTACATTGTGATCTGGTAACACAGTAGGAGGCTCCATCTGAATTCTCCTGGAAGCCCTCTCACCAATGGGAGATCTATTTGATTCTTGTCCCTCTAGTTTGTTCTTCTTGTTTTTTCCCCTCTTTTTTACATTTACTTGTTTTAATCCTACGTGCGTGGGTGAACACTTGTTACAGCCCGTGTGCACAGGTCCAAGGGCCACGAGCTAGAGTCAGCTCCCTTCCACTGTATGGGTTTTGGCTACCACACTCAGCTCCTTTATCTGCTGAGTCATCTCACAGGCCTTTCTTTTCCTTTTTTTTCTCCCTCTTTCCTTTTTCTTCTGTTAATTCTGAAGATAACCTGCTACTGGGATAGCTGTTTGCTATGATCAGCTTGAAACTTAAATTTTAGCACTTCTCCCAGATGTTTGCCTTGTGCAAGTTCACGAGTAACAGCCATTTCGATGCCATGTTAATTATACTCTCAGAATGTGGGGACAGCAGCCATGATGTGTGGGCTATCTCAGACCTGTTGTAGTAGTGGCCATTTACACAGGCTCTCCCACAATTTGTTTCTTCCAGATGCACTTACTGAAGGCTTCTAACTAGGAAAAAAAATCATTTCTGTGCTCAAAAAGAGACAGGGAGAAAAGATAAAAGGAGATAAAATATGAAAATAAATCTGTAAATATTTAAGAATACTCAGACTCGTGAAGAATCATGTATGCCCATTTCAGGCCTCAGTTTCTCCATCTGTAATGAGATACTGTGGAGTTCACTCCCCTCTCGATTCTGCTGATGAGGAATATATAGTTAACAAAGACTTACTAAGTTCCTATGGTGTGTATCTTTGGGTCTTCTTCTCAGGCACTGGAGAGATAAAGAAATTATTCTTCCTTTAATAATCTGATGAAAACAATAGACTCTACTTGAAAAGAAAAGTATAAACATTTCATAAATGTTTCAGGGATTTCAATATGCCCCAGGTCCCCACGTGCCGCATGTTTCTCTAGTCTTCGTAGGCCTTTATTTTATGGTATTAAGATTTGAGATTCAGGTACGTAATCAAATCTTGATTTTAACTCCTCCCCTCCTCCCATTTCTTCTTTTTAAAAATATTTAGCTATACTGTTGGGATGTTTGGTCCTTTCTTTTTTGAGACCAAGTATTTGGAACTTAAGAGATAGTCCATCTTTTGGGCAGTGTTTTTGGCAGAGGGTTAGTGAGGGTTGGTGACAAGAAGACGAGTTTGTATGAAGCTGTGCAGGGGGCCACAGCCTTGGGGGTTTGCAGCAAAGACAGATCTCCTTGAGTGCTTTTGACCACTAGGCAAGTCATAGCAAGCCAGAGCTTCTCAAAGGGTCTCTTGAAAAGGAGAGACCGGGTCTGTGGGGTTGTCGGACTGACAGCTTCCTGATGACACAGCAATGGACTTTATGGCAGGTAGTTCTTTTAATATGTTGAAGAAGAAAAACAAAGGATGGTGTTAGGAATGGGATTGTTTGTTCATTTGTTTGTAGAGCTGAGGATGAAGCTCTGACCTTTCTGTGTGATGGTTATGTGCTCTACCACTAAGTTACATCCTAGCTTGAAAACAGGCACATTAAAGGCCCAATTTAACATGGAAAGGACAGAGGGCAAAGGTTTCAGACTAGTTTTGATCTTTTTTGTTTTTTGTTTTTTGTTTTTTGTTTTTGTTTTTTGTTTTTTGAGACAGGGTTTCTCTGTATTGTTTTGGAGCCTGTCCTGGAACTTGCTTGGTAGACCAGGCTTGGTCTCGAACTCACAGAGATCCGCCTGCCTCTGCCTCCCAAGTGCTGGGATTAAAGGTATGAGCCACCACTGCCTGGCTCAGACTAGTTTTGATCTTTAAGAGATGTTTTTCATTTGTCTTTAGTGCCCTCAGAATTCTGCTTTTTAGTGAAGGAGGCCAGGGGTCATTTTCTGACTCTAGTATTGATCAGATATTGATATGTCTGTGCTTGGAAGGAGGAGGAGTTAGATGCTCATCTTTGATGTTAGCCTTGAATAGATAGTGAGAGTCACTGCTGGGATGTGACCATGGATGTGCAATGGTCTGCTTTTGAAGAGGTCATATGAGGCTTATAAAAGCTTTGTGTTGCCAGGTGGTGGTGGTGCACACCTTTAATGCCAGCAGAGGCAGGTAGATCTCTGTGTGTTCGAGGCCAGCCTGGTCTACAGATCCAGTACCAGGGCAGGCTCCAAAGCTACACAGAGAAACCCTGTCTTGATGAAAAAACAAACAACAACAAAAGCTTTGTGTCAGATTGCCAGAAGGTGGGTGAAGCCTGTGAATGTCTCCTTAAACAAGAAAGCAGTGAGTTGGTACTGTGAAGTTAAATCATAAGAATTCATAGAAGAAAATTGCTTTTTTTCATTTTCTCAATTTCCTCATCTGTAAAATGGGTATTATAATGACACCTGCTATCACATTCTGGCAAGAATTAAATGAGATTGTGTAGGTAAGGTGCTTTCTATGTAGTGCTGGGTACCTGGTAGCTATTTCTATGCCTGTCGCTATTATTATGGTTGGGATTTTTCCTCCCAGTTGACACAAACAGTAATGTCATAAAGGCTTAGCCCATAGATTTAGAAGCTATGGGACCAAAGCTACTCCCAGAGTGACAGAAAAAAATATTTTTGGAAGCATCTGTCCATTTACTCCATAGCCTCCCAGTGCCTAGGATTATCCAGGCCAGGAGCAAGTCAGAGAGGCTGGTAGGAAATTTCGTCTCTGCCCCTTTTAAAGCTCCCATGTAGATGGCTGTTTTCCTGTTTCATCCTCCCATTAATGCTGTGACTTCCTGTTATTTTTGTAATGACTGAATTTAATCACAATAGTTTTTTGCAAACATCTCTTTCACCTTAAAAAATGCTGACTAAAATAATACCCTTTGATCAGGACAAAAGCCTGTCTACCTAAGGTGCTTGCAATTCACCCTTTACTCACAGCTGAGTGCTAGGACTAAGTGTTCAGAGTCCAGGCGATTTCCACCAAGTATTAACAGAAGTCATGCTTCTTTGAGTGACAATTTCTCCTTCCCTCCCACAAATGGTTTGTTTTCTTTCTTTTCTTCTTCCACACTCACTTTGTGTCTTTTATGATCGTCTTGTTCCCCCCTCAAATCTTTGTTTCCTTCATGTTGGTTCATTTAAAACTTAACTTGTCCTCCTTGATTTCTTTCTCCATATTGACTTTCTCCATATTTCTCAAGCGTTGGTATTGATTTCAGGAACAATAGGATGTAGACTCTACGTTTTCTGGATAATTCTAGAAAACTAAGGGCCAAGGCCACCATTTGTACCTCAAACCTGTCAAGTACAGCTAAGACATTCCAAGGACAAGAAACAGATACTTGGGGGT